AAATTCCAAAACAAACAAACAAACAAACATTCAGTTCACAGTTATGTAAATCAGGCATCTATCTGATGATCAGTTATGCAAATGTTTGGTGATTTAGCTTATATTATATACAATGGCCTGTTCCATACCAACTTGCGTTAATTGTCACTTTGAAGCAAATCACAGGGCTTCAAGTACTCCAAATTGTTCACTGTTCGTTTTGTTTTTTAACGCAAAGCTACACAAAGGGGTTAATTGGGCTTTGTCTGCTCCGAGGATAGGACTCAAATGTTAACGTTATAAACCTTGAAGTTCATTGCTAAGCCACCGAGATATTCCAAACATTTCATGAACGATGGCTAAGCCTCTGAAGAGACAATTGGATGTTCCATTCACGTGGAAAGCCATCGAACGAATTAAAGCAAGTCATTCATAGTAAGTTAGCTACAAATGTCTTAAATTGTAACTTGCAAAATGTAGAACCGCTTTGAAACCAAAGATACAGTTTCGCGGATACCTGAATGAGATTGATCGCCATACCTAACATAATAATAAGTTAGTAAACAACGATTTATAAACGTAATGAAGTGATTTTTTTTGTGGAAAACATACTACATGTTTCGACAGAACATTGGTCTGTCTTCAGACCAACTTATTACTATGTTAGTATAATATACTTAATTAATCAAGTTAATATAACGTACGCAGACGATTCTTATCTAGTGAACCTGGCTCGCCTGAATTGTAGATTACTTGCTCCGAGACTAAAACAGATGTTCACAGCTGCATCTAGTCATCATGTCAGTGTATAGACCAATAGGAACAGAGTCCAACTGATTTACCTGCGCTCCAGATCCCAGTTAGGTGTATTGCTCTCTTACTCTCTCACACACACAAAAAGACAGAAACGGCTCACTTGCAATGGTATTGAAAACACGTCCAGTGGACAACAATAACATTATGCAATAATATGACTTTTCAAACTGAATTGTCTTTTATTCTCAGCTAGGTAACTGGAGTGCATTATTTTTCCAAGATCTGGTATGAGACCACATTTTCTTAGGGGATCGTGATGCAAATCTTGGTAGCGAAAGTATAATGTGGGGGAATACGCTTTGCTGAATGTATCGACCCTTACATCTGGTGGACTGATTCCATTAATATCACAAATTATAGGGACCACATCCGACGACCCTTCGTGTTGTTATATGTTGATACACTTGGCACTAACTTCAGTATTATGGAAGCCTCGCGCCACCGTGTTAAACTGGTCGACACATTAATTGAAGAGAGGGAGGGAGTGGATCCACATGTTCATCGGATTTCAATCTCATCCAGTATATATATGGGATTCTCTTGGGTTGTTGCTGTTGTTGTTTGTTATTAAGCACAAAGCTACACAAATGGCTATCTGTGCTCTGCCCATCACGGGTTTCTAGTGGTATAAGTCCGCAGACATACCACTCTGCCACTGGGGGACGTTTCTCTTGAGAGGCGTGTGGTATCTCGTCAAGTCTCTCCAGACATTGATAACAACTTTTTCAGAACATTCGTAAAATATATTTCAGCACCTTAACAACGCAATCATTTTAAACTTTCCTTCTTGTTTCAGGTGATCATACTCAATATTGAGGTGAGATGACATGAGCTGTAAAGATGTAAGGCTACTTCTACCAAATGTTCATTTATGAATGTAGACTACATGATTGATCATTTGCATTTCGGATAAGATGATGAGCCACTAAATGCTTGATTTGATTAAAATTAATTTGAGCTTGGTGATTGTAATTATAATATAACAATGATTTTGCCTTTGTTCTTTTGTTCGTTTCGAATATTTGCGCATAGTTATACACCAGGGCTATTTTCGCTAATCGTCCCTAATTTTGAACTGATAAACTGTAGAGAAAATTGCTTGTTTACAGCATCCACCGCCAAATCTTGGGTTACATGAATCGAATGGTGGGATTTAACTGCCACTCTTATGACACACGCACGACCCAACGTGATAGAATAATATAAGGAAACTTTGGGGCCAATGGTACATTATGAGAGCGACGTTCAAATCCCAGTATTCGGTCTCACAAGTATAGCCCAACGTTTTGTGGTAGGTGATGTTAATTAGTTGCCTTCTCTTTAGTCTGTTACTTCAAAATTATGTATAGCGCAGATAGGCCTTAATTAATTTTGCGATAAATACGACAAACAAAAGCAATTTCACTTGTCATTTCAATGATTTTACTTCTAAAATGGTATTCGTACAAGCACTTTACATAGGATGACAGTTTGTATGTGTTTCTACAGGGCACTATAAATTATATTAATTTGAAACCGATTTTAGTCAAATAAATATATCAAAATGTTAAACTTACTGTTTCACAAAGTCACTAACGCATTTTCTTAGACATTAAGAGCTGTAACTAGCAATACAGAGTTACAGTTACCTTAAAACATTTGGCAAGTATGTTTGTTTGTAGTTTATGCACAAAGCTACACGATGGGCTATCTGTTCTCTACCCACCACGGGTATCTAAACCCGGCTTTTAGCGTTGTAAGCCCACAGACATGCCGCTGTGCCACTTGGGAGGGTACATTTGGTCAGAGTGCCATAATTATACAATGTTAAAAGCTTCGTAGCGACAGTTACTTAACACAAGAACATAATCTCAAACTCTATAATGGCTGTCTAACACGAACAGAAAATATCGTAGTAACAGTATACCATTGAAGGACGGTAATAGATAGCTTGAATAAAAAGCTAAAATAAATTAATTTTACTGGATGTTTTGTTTCATTATTTCAGTTATTAAGCTCTTGAAAATCTCCTTTTTGACAAAACAAATTATGACCATGAGTATTAATCTATTATAAGATTAGCGATGGATTTCAAAACTTAAAAAAAAAAAATACTTCTGGCAGCAACACTTTCACTCTCTTATGCAAATTGTA